GCCACATGCGCCCTGTAGCAAAAACCTCCAAAAAAAAAAAAAAAAGAAAGAAAGAAAGAAAGAAACAAACAAAAAACTTGACCAGAGAGAGAGAAAGCGAAAAAGCAAGCCACCAGGTCCAGGATTCAAACCCTTGTACTCCATGTGGAGACTAGCACCTTAACCACCACACCACCTGTTAGCTCTAGAAAGTCAATTAAGTTTTACACTAATCCTTGTTTTATGACTTATCTAGTGATCTGAATAATGTCTCAAATATATTCAAAACAAAAGAGGAGAATACTCTTTGATGTGTATATCAAAAAAGGACACTTATGGGGAGCTGGCAAATGGTGTGATGGTTAAAGGCTCTGGATTCCCACATGGCCACCTGTGGTTCAAGTCCTGGACCTGGTGGCATTTCTTGCTTTCCCTTTCTCTTTCTCTGTCTCTAGTCAAATTAAATAATAATAACAATAATAATAACAATAAATGGGATTATATAAATAAGTCTTCATTTTTAAAAAACGAAACTTATGGATATTTATTGAAATTTATGAGACCAGCAATTAGCGTAATGGCTATGTTGCTGGACTTCCACGTAGTCGACTGCGGTTCAAGTCCTGGACCCGGTGGCTTAAACTCACACCAGGCGTGTGTGCATGCGTGCCCAAGATCCCGAGAGGAGAAAAGAGGAGAAGGGATTGTGGCATGGCCATCCCCCCGGGGGGTTACTTCTCGCTTCCTAGCTCTATGTCTCTCTCTGTCTTTCTGGCGAGCGCATGCACCCTATAGCGAAAAAAACCTCTCCAAAAAAAAAAAAAAGAAATTTATTAGCATTATAAGAATGCTTATAGGACCAGGTGGTGGCATGGTGGTTAAGGCAACTAGATTGTACATTGCCAACTGTGCAGGTCAAGTCCTGGGATGGAGAGATTCTCTCTCTCTTTCTCTCTGCAGGGAGCATATGCCCCCTTTAGCAAATTAAAAAAAAAAGAATTCTCGCGTGTGTGTGTGTGTGTGTGTGTGTGTGTGTAAGATAAATTTGAAATGGCTGGCAGGTGGCATGGTGGTTGAGGTGCTGGACTCCCACATGGCTGACCATGGTTCGAGTTCCAGACCTGGCAGCTTGCTTTCTCACTTTCTCTCTCGCTCTATCTCTCTCTGGTCAAATTAAAAGAATAATAATAATGGTGAAAGTGAAATAAGATAATTCTAAAAAAAAGATCAACTTGAGCAACAGTGATTAGAGTATAAAGGAACTAAAAATATTAAAGTTAAAACATGCCTGTGGCATGGTGGTTAAGGTGGCTGGCTCCCATTTGGCTGACTGCGCAATTTGAGTCCTGGACCCAGTGACCTGAAAAACACAAGTGTGTGCGCATGTGAGCCCAAAATCCTGAAGGAAGGATAGATGAGGGTGAAGGGATTTCAGCGTTAGCGTTTTCCATGGGGGCATGCTTTCTCACTTCCTCTCTAGCAAGTGCGTGCGCCCCCTAGCAAAAAGAAAATAAATGTTTAAAAGTTGCCCAAATTTCTGGTCTCGTTTTTTCCTCCTGGATTAAAGAGGATCTTACGTATTTTCTTTACTTTAGAATTGCTTTAAATCTCCTAGAAATAATAGAAAAT